AAAAGACCAAAAATATTTTTTAAAAAAAAACGGTTTCACCTAGTGGTTCAGACTTTGAGCTTTAGACTCAGATCCTAAAGGTATAAACTCTGGCACTTACAATCTGGGTGACATTGGACAAATTATTTAACCAGAGTTTAGTTTCTTTAATGGTACAATGGTGATTGTGGCACCCCCTTGTAGGTCGTTGGGAAGGTTAGCTCTGCCAACATGATGCCTGGCATATATAAAGCAGCTAGTAGTGTTGCCAGTCTGTGCCAGTAACACAGACCAATAGATGGCTGATCAACCTTATGTTGGACACACAGCCTAGGAAACAGCCTTAGGTTTGAATGAGAAGACAGGGATCAAGCTTTCATGGTGAATGCAGCACTTAGTACAAAAGCTGGTAAATGTGAGACTGGTTTTTATTTAATTTATTTATTTATTTATTTATTTATTTATTTTTCATCTTTTTGAAGCAGGGTCTCCCTGTAGCCCCAGCTGTCCTGGAACTCACTATGTAGACCAGGCTGGCCTTGAACTCAGAGATCCACCTGCCTCTGCCTCCCAAGTGCTGGGACAACAGGTGTGCACCACTACGCCCAGCTATTTATTTATTTTTATTTTATGCATGTGAGCATTTTGCCTGTATGTATGTAAGTGCACCACATGCATGCAATGCCCTCAGAGACCAGAAGAGGCATCAGATCCTCTGGAGCTGGAGTTACAGACTGTTGTTAGCCATCATGTGGGTGCTAGGAACCAAACCCAGATCCTCTGCAAGAGAAGTCAGTGCTCTTAATTGCTGAGCCACCTCTCCAGTCCCCTGACTGTCTTTTCTATAGAACTTTCCTAGTGCAGCCAGATAACAGGTTTGGACTGGGGCCAAATAGCCTGACTTCCAAAAAGTGTAGCAAGTAGAACCAAAGGAACACTGCATGCTTTCCCAAAAATGTTTGCTGAGTCTTTCTTACATAAAATATAACTAAAATCAGAAAATATTAAGTTCTAGTGACTACATTCAATATTTAAGACAGGGTTTTAGAAACACCAAACTGATACACTAATATTCCCATTAATAGTCAGAGTTAGATAGAGTTTAAGAAGTATTAGTGGTTCTAGTATTTTGACCATATATATTATTTACATATATGTTCATGTCTAAAGCTGTAGAACCTTGTAAATACATACCTTCCTGTTGAGATTTTCTGACTGGATTGGAAATAAAAATATTTCAAGCCAGGGCTGGAGAGATGGCTCAGTGGTTAAGAACACTGGTTGCTCTTGCAGAAAACCCAGGTTCGAATCCCAGCACCCACATGGCAGCTAGCAACTGTCTGCAACTCCAGTTCCAGGGGATCCTACAGCCTTTTCTGTCCTCCGTGGGCATTGCATGACATGGGTGCACTTACCTACATGCAGGCAATACACGCATACACATAAAATAAAAATAATAAAATATTTTTAAAAATATTTCAAGCCACCCCATTCCCTTTTCCTCAGATCCATCTCCCTCTTTATCCACTGATCTTGTCCAGGTGAGGAAAAAGTCTCCAGTTCCATAATACCAAAAGCACAAGTCACAACAGAAAAAAAATTAGATTTTGTCAAAGTTAGAAACTCTTTTTGTTTTGGTTTTGAGACAGGGTCTCGTTGTGTAACCCTAGTCAGCGTGGAACTCATTAATTAGACCAGGCTGGCCTTGAACTCAGAGATTCTCCTATCTCTGCTTCTTGAGTGCTGGGGTTAAAGGTGTGCACCACCATGCCCTGCAAAGTTAAAATTTCTTGCACTTTAAAGAACATTATCGAGTCACATCCTGCTCAAGGGCGGGAGGCCAGGGCTGCCGGTATTTGGGCTTCCAGAGGCTCCCCTCCACCAGCGACTCCTGGACCTAGTTGAGGGGCAAAGATGCCGGCCCTTCACATTGAAGACCTGCCAGAACAGGAAAAGCTGAAGCTGGAAGTTGAGCAGCTTCACAAGGAAGTTAAGTTGCAGAGACAACAGGTGTCTAAATGTTCTAAAGAAATAAAGAATTACATTAAAGAGCATTCTGGAGAGGATCCCCTGGTGAAGGGAATTCCAGAGGACAAGAATCCCTGGAAGGAAAAAGGCAGCTGTGTCATTTCGTAACTAACTCTGGGGAGAAACTTCATTGGCGATGGACAAGCAAGTTGTTCTTTCTCTTTTTTTATTTCTTTGATCTTCCCTAAATGAAATCAATGTGTCTTTTAAGGAAGAAAAAAAATGAAATTTAGAAAAGCTTCTCTTAAGCACTGTACAATTAAGTCTATATGTATGCAAATATATTTGCTTCTCATTGTTGCTCAACGCACACTTTTTCAGAGGGCAGAGTATCCAGTGTATGGAATTAAAGCATGACCCTTTTCTTTCAGTAGATGCTTGGGGCCTCCAATAAAGTTTTGTCTTGAGGGGGGAAAAAAAACATTATCAAGAATATGGTGGTACGTGCCTTTAATCCCAGCACTTAGGAGGCAGAGGCAAGTGGGTCTCTGTGAGATCAAGGCCAGCCTGATCATCTCCACAGTGAGTTCCAGGTGAGCTGAGGCTACAAGGGACAACAAAAGAAAGAGAGGGGGGTGAAGGGGGGGAGGGAGGGAAGGAAGGAAGGAAGGAAGGAAGGAAGGAAGGAAGGAAGGAAGGAAGGAAAAAACATGGGAACAAAAAGAGGTCTCTGGGTTAAGGTGGCAGATTATAAGCTTCTTCCGTGCTACTCCATGAATGAGAAAGAGTGAGGATAACAGAAGTTAGGCTATATTTCAAAGCTAGAGAAAGAGCCAAGTGTGATTAACCATGCTTGTAATCCCAGCACTTGACAGGTAGAAGGGGTTCAAAGTCATTCTTGGCTACACAATGAGTTCTAGGCAGCCTGGGCTACATGAGACCCTGTTTCAAAAAATATTAATCCCAGCCCTTGGGAGGCAGAGGCAAGCAGATGTCTGTGAGATAGCGAGTTCTACCTGGTGAGTTACAGGTCAGCTGGGGCCACAATGACCAAAAAGACCAAAGGAAGGAAGGAAAGGAGGGGAGGGAGGAAGGGAGGGAGGGAGGAAGGAAGGAAGGCAGGCAGGCACAAGAAAACAGGCCACAGAGGAAAGTGGGAAACAGTAGCTCTGACAAGTTTTCAGACTTGGCTAACACCAGCTGGGTGTGGGTGAGAATCCACCGCACAGCCCAGCAACAACAGAATGGCCATCATAGACACTGAAGACACCTCCAGTTCTAGAAAGCCTTCTATGACAGGTCAGCATTGGAAAAGAAATTTTGCTGCTCCCCATATCTTGGTGTAGTATGCCAGGGACCATGTTCCGAGCAGTACCATTCACAATACCCAAAAGCTGGAAACTACCCCAATGTTCATCAACCAAGGGATGATAAACAAAGCAGGGTATTGCCATACAATGAACTATTAATTAGCTGTGAAAAATAATGAAGCACAGGTCTCTGCGACAGCATGGATGAACTTGAAAACACTAAGGGAAAGGAGCCATTCATAAAACGCCATATTGTATGGATGCATTCCTATGAAACCCATGGAATAATCAAACCTATTACATAGAAAGCAGATTAGCGGTGCCAGGGCATGAGGTGAAAGAAGGACTGGAAGAAGGGGAGGCTTAATAGATGTGGGGCCTCCTTTTGAGGTGATGAAAATTCCAGAATTAGTGATGATGATTGCATGGCTGCATGAATGCATTGCATGTCACTAATGGCAAACTTTATTCTATGTATATCTTACTACAATAATTTTATTCAATTCTTGCTGACTCCCATCCAGTGCTGTAGTTGTCTCATCTGTAAACTAAAGTTAATGAACCTGGTTAGATCTGTCTCTCCAACAAATTGGAAAGTGAAGGTCTCTGTTAAAAGGCATTAACTGTCAATCAACTCCAGAGGCTGCAGAGACTTGGGGCCTACTGTTGCCAGAGCAGCCTATCTTTCAAGAAAGGTGACCACTTCCCCAGCTTCAATGTGCACATGAGGCACCTGGTGATCTTGGTGAAATGCAGATTCTGAGTTAGTAGGTCTGTGGTAGGAAGCAGAATACACATTTCCAGAACACTCCCCACTGGTAGCTCTAAATAGTTAAGATCCAGATTGCAAGTTCTCAAACTTGGCTGAACATTAGACGCATCTTGGGAAATATTGAAAAATATAGAAACTGAGGCCCCAGTTGGGAGAATCTGATGTCACCAGCCAGAGGGGGAGCTGAGCCTCAGAGTTTTAGAAAGCCACACTCCCCTACCCCCAGGTACCTTTGATAACCTCCATAGATTTGGCATAGTTCTGGCATGGAGGTCGTGGAGTGTCTCTAGAGAACAAGGT